ATATATAATATTATTATATATNTATGTATGTGTTAGACTATATATATATATAATTATATAGATAGTATATTATATATATATATTATTATATATATATATATATATTATACAGATAGATGTATATATATATGTGTGTGTGTGTGTGTGTGTGTGTGTGTATTTGCGCGTACATACCTGTACTGGTGAACTCGTCGTTGCTCCAGCGTGCCATCATGTCGCCTATGTTGACCACGATCGCATTGCGCACTTCAGGTACATACACCCACTCCTGTTTCTCGGGCGAGAATATCTGAAGCGCTGCGTGGAGTAGGGTCAGTGTGCACATGCGAAGTTGAGTTCAAATGACAAAATCGATCAAGTCAAATGAAAGCCGAATGGGAATGCATTGTGCATATCATGAAAACTCTGGCGAAAACGCCACAACTGGATATAATAAAATGACACGGTCAATATCAGTACAAACAAGTCAGCTGGTATATACCGGTGGGACCATCCTGTGCGAGTAGAGTGAAGCATTCGTAGTCTGTGTGTGCGCCAATGCCCATCTGGTTCTGCGGCCTATCCGCAAAGGGGAGGTAGTAGTTCATATTCATCGAATCCATTCCTTCATCCACTGCAAGCGAATACATTTGGAGTGAGGCGTTCGCAAGTGAGACAATGAAGATTTGGGTAATTCCAATGAAGACATCCGTAAATTAAATCATTGAATGCATGGTAATTAGGTAGCAACATCCTTCAGGGTTCATTTTTAGCTCTATACTTTTCTCTGAGTTGCCGTTTTGTTTGCAGTAGCATGAGATTTAGATCACGTTGGTGCAACTGTAGTCCATACCCATGAACGTCTGTTCATACATCGCATGTATATCAGGGACCGCCTATGAGAGATAAAGAACAACCATAGTGCCCGTTCATAGCCAGTGCATATTTGTAAATTGAAGGCCGCGCTACAACAAACCTTATCCGCTGGTCGGTTCTCAGACAAGTAATTGATTGCAGATGCTTGAGTAGCCTATCTCACTATGAGCGCATATATGAAACTGTTCTTGTCATGTTTGGTCACGGTCATTACACAAGCATATATGCACGAAACACGCCTGAATCTATTTATCTCACATACCTTTATCCTCGAAGTAGTCCCGTGGTAGGTTCAGTGCTTCGGCAAAAACTTCAAATAGCGTATCAGAGAGCGTGTCCATAGCCCCCCAATATGTTTTGATATCCTCGGAAAATTGTGCGGGTGTATCAGGGTACACATTAGGGGCAAAGAGAGTCACATTGTAGTGCTTGTGGGTTTTAGGGAGCTCACGTCCGTAGTGATACGTCTGCAGATAAATTTCGGGGTCAGATGGGACAGTTGATTTGTGATGAGAACAAATTATGAGCAATCCACCAGTGCGTGAATTGGGAGAAATCTTGGATATGGATTGAAGGGCCTTTGAGAAGCTACATAATGTGGTGGTAACGTATTCAGAAAATGAAACAATCTAGCCGTGGATCTAGTAGACATCGAATATTTGGTCGTTCGCAGCGCACTGTCAAATGCAGCGATATCCAGTACATTTGAGCGTTTTTGAAAGAAAGCTTGGCTTAGAATAGCAGTATATTGGCTCGCATACTTCAACAGTTGTTACTAAGTACGAGTGACGTCAAGACAATTTCGATACCTGCTTGAAGTCCATCGGTTCGTCCTCCGCTTCGGAAGTCGTTTCCTTTGTCAGTTGGTTTCGAATATCTGTCACGTCCACTCCATAGTTGCCCTTTCGAGAACACATCCAAAAAAGTGTGCGAGAGTCAGTATCTGAATTCTACCTGCTAATCGGAGACAGCATTCACTATGTATGCGCTAAGACGTTATCTTTTGTCTCTTCGATTCTTAACTGAATACCGAAAGGTACATATAGCCATCCCCTAGGCAGGTGGGGCTTGACATCTCTAAGTATATGAAGAGAAATTTGTGTCTCTTCCTCGTCAAACAATCGTATCAGTGTCGACTACACTACTTTTCGGGACCCATACAGTCATGCCAACTGATTCTACTCATGCGTACACAAACAGGAAAATAATAAACCCCCAATCAAACGAAAATACAATGTCTTGTCATGTAAGTGCGCTCTACGCGTCACTCACGCTTGTACATAGATAAATCCGCATGTATTCGTTTTAGAAAGATTCATAAACATCAAGCATCCCCATGCATCACATACTCCCGATGCCAATATCTTAAAGATGCATATTGGCTAAGCTCACATGGCTTCTTTTACCTGCTCGAACTCCGCGGAGTAGCCCCGCAGTCCTTCATTGTGGTTCACATGCACTTTCATCTTGATTTCTTCGGGCTGGTCCATAAATGCACGCATGCTTTTGAAGGTTGACTGCATCAAATCAGGAGAAACGCTGTGTGTGTGGTGCAATTCAAGAGGTAGTATGAACGAAACTGATCAAACCCCTCATTCATTCTGGGCAAACGAGCGGGACAGACATGATTCGCCTACTGAACTATCTGGATGACAATCTAGGAGATTATCCCCTACCATGCATCAGGACAAGTCTGCAATTCTGGTAGTATCCGAATACACGCAATCAATTCATATTCAAACATATATGTGTATACATGGCTAACTGCAAAACCCGTTCATAACAGGATATCTCATATGTGTATATTGTATGTATGCATATATCTATTCATTTTTGTATATTTTTATACAATTCTATATCAACATCACAGTAAAAATATACATCTGGCCTATATATGTAACTGCCAGCATACTTCTGTTTTCGTGAAAGCCTTGTGTGGTCTGCACGAACTAATACAGAAAATGCAAAGTAACAACGCAATTGTCCCGACAAATGGCGTACCAATAGACTATAAATGATATAATTGATTGACTTACCAGTTGTATGATACTTCTAATAGGTAAATTAAAATAACACACAAAATTATATCAGGTATTTGAGAGTAGGTAACAATCTGGGCAAGATGCGCATACATATGATTTAACCTGGATACGTTTTTGATTTGGACATTTTCACCTCTGGTTGCCCAAATCATGCTCTGCTATGAACATCCATTCTGCTACCCCTACCGCCGCCGAACCTGTAAAAAATATACAGCTCATATTTATAAAGCGCTCAAAAGCACCTGTATCGTTCAAATGGGAACTTAAAGCAGTCCCACAAATATCAAATCGCAAGAACAATATAGAAACCTCTAATTTTTCTTCAAAAATACAGTATACTCACCCATGATTGATTAGATAAAAGAAGCCAACTTCCTTAGACGCCTTTTTGAGTTGGCTGATAACCTTCGTACGCTCTACATCCTGCTGCTTACTGTGATCAAACAGTCCACCGAGGTCGACCACTGGTATAATCTTCCCTTGTGTTGCCATGTTTGAGCTGTAAGAACGCGCAAAGCTGAGTACAGATAAACGGCTAGTACAAGAACGAGATAGGATACTGCGCAACATGGTGTCTTATTCAAGGGCTGCTATATTATTTAAAAAGTGACGATTGATCTAGTACGATCTCGCATTCATCGAACACGGCTATTTCCGGTGTGAAAAGCCCGCAAGCTGTGCTAGGGCTCTTTATAGACTGTGCCATAAAACGCAAACAACCTTTTCAAAAATAATCAAATACGAATGTTTTAGAACGAAGGTCGAAGCTCCTCTTGTTTGTATTACAATACATATATACAACAACGTATTGATGTCGTCATAGTGCTGTCATTCCATTTGCTCAAAAACTTTGTTGTCATCCCTTTTGGTTTTTTGTTGTTAAAAATATATCAATTTGTTGGATACACGACAGCGTCGTAAATAAATACAACGAGATTACGAGACCCTGTCAGGCTGTCGATTGGGAATCTTAGGACTGCTATGAAATGTATGTAAATAATATTTAAATCTCATATTTATGTATTAAATTATATTCAGTCGGCATTTGGCAACTCGGCAATGTCCACATAGAATACTCAATTACTCATGAGAACATTCTTCTGTGTTTTAAAGACCCAATGGTAACTCTTGGCTCATGGATGATTATAGTAACAGCTCTGAGTCCTGAGAATTGAAAGTAAGCACACTCGTATATGTATTTCTACATTTTATAGGTTAAAATAAGGACCGGTCTCGCCTAATTTTCATAACTTTTTCGGGCTAATTGATAGTGAAGAACTCGGATGCGACTCATGCGAGTCCGGATAATTTCCAAGACTGTACAATTTTGGCGGGACCTGAAAAATTAAATACATACAGGCAATAGGCCTATAGCCTAAAGGCTATAGCGGACTGGCGATTTTGCCTACAACTTGCAAGTTAAAAAAAAATCAAATACAACCATAACTAAACCCCTCGCAGACCTCTCTCGCTCTCTCTCTCTCTCT